CTGCACTGTTTATCTGGACAGGATTTTTGTCTCGTCAAAATAAGAGAAACAAGTTTTTTTCTAGAACAGAAGTACAACATCGGCTAGTACATATTTACTCCAGTTACGTATATACCCCAAATTTCTACTTAAAGTGACAATGTGTATTTTCCCTGGCTATGGGGGGGGAGTACATACACAAATCATTGCAAGCCACCTATATTTTTGTGTTTGAGTAAGACCTTACCTACGGATGGCCAGCAGGGTCAAAAATCCCTGGGAGTGCAACCTCCAGCAGAACGACACACATCAGACGCCCTTACCTCACCGGGTAAGAGGTACATGTTTACTTTCATGATGTAGGTCTTTTTTAAAACACAGAGCAGCTTTGTTTACCTGTTTTCCCGCTACGTTTCGTTTGCGGCTGCAAACTTCCTCAGGCTGACGCCGATGATGGCGTCACTTCCCTCTCCGCCACCACCATCAGCGTCAGCCTGAGGAAGTTTGCAGCCGCAAACGAAACGTAGCGGGAAAACAGGTAAACAAAGCTGCTCTGTGTTTTAAAAAAGAACTACAGCATGGAATTAGAGATACGACACAGCAAGAACACACCCAAGAGGTCCATGTTTACGTTTATGTGTAAAACAACATTTATGAACGGTGAATGTTTTTGTAACCGTTTGGTACAAATCAGTGAATGCCTTTTGTTCTCACAGGCTCCCATAGAAGGAAACATGGCGTCCCCCAGCGTTTTAGACCCGCTCCCGTGTATTTTAGACTTGATTTTATGGTTGTATGTTACTAATCCGCCAACAACTGGGCATCATTGAATTCATTTTTAACAACAATTTGATGGATATTTTCAGAGATCAACAGTAAAAATTATACATTGGGTGTTTCTCAGTGCCAAGGAGCCTTGCCTTGGTGTCTTGGCCCCGCCCCCGTTGCCTAGGAGATACGTCATCGGGAGCTGCCAAGACGTGTTCCACTGTTCATGTTCTACCGAGGCGTGTGTTCTCCGTTTGTTAGCCGTTTAGCTAGCTGAGCAAGGATACACCGGAGGTGTCTTGTAGCCTAGCCTTGGTCAAAAATTACCCAGAATACACCGCGGTATTTTCAAAAGGACGGCGGATCAGAAGACGGCAGCTACTTCGGGGACAATTTTCAAGTTTAAAAGTAAGTCAGCTAATTTAAAATGTTTTTTAGATCCAAAGAAGTTATCTATGGTTGGTTAGTAGCTTAGTAGCTGCAGCTTATGTGGCTAGCGGGTAGTAACTCACTTATATTTTTAATTTAATAGACATAAACACCATTTAAAAAGTAAAAGGCTCGTTATATATTTAATATTGAAACTAATACGTATAAAATATAATGTTGTCTCCCGTGTCACGTGACGTTACGTGACCGTCGTGGAAGCCGCGGTCACGTGATGCAAGTCTGTTCCATTTAACCGTTTCCTTTGACGAAGTTAGGACAGTGTCCTCGTAAGCAAGGCGTCCGGCCTCACAAGACATCACCTCGCAAGGCCAGACGCCTTGACACTGAGAAACACCCACTTTCTCTTTGTCATGTAACAAAGTAGTTGTACTTAGTTACTTGATGCCGTTGCTTATTCCGGTCCTTGCTGTGGAAGCTGGAGGGTTCGTGGAGTCAGACGAGTTAAAAGAAACTGATCTTCATGCTGCTGACTCACCACAAACCTCTTCAGGAACTGACGAGAACCTTCCAGGTCAACTTTGGATATCTCAACAAAATCTCCCATCATGCCCTCCTCCGACGCCGGGACGTCCTCGTAGAACTGCTGGGCTCGGTAGTAGAACTGCTTCTCACCTTTGATGTACTCACAGGTGACTGGGAACAGCTTCACTGTCGGACACGAGACGACAAACGTGGGGAAGTCAGTCACAAACCTTCATATCGGATCGTTTCCTGACTTCTGGAGGAGATATTAACGGATGAACATTCTCGGGAAATCTGACCTGAAAGTCACTAAATACATCAACTTTATCCATGAATCATAAACACAAAAGTATAAGAAGCTGCTCAGAAAACGACCTAAAAAACAACAAATAAGAGACCCGAAGAGGAAAACCGCAGTTTGTCACTTATTTCATCAAACCTTTATTCAGCCGGAGTGGTCCCATTCAGATTAAAAACCTCTTTTCCAAGGGGGTCCTCATAGTCCAAGCATGAATAATCAGGGGCGTGTCCTTTTGATTGGCAGATTGCTGATAAGCTGTCAGCACTAGCAGCTAGATTTACTTGCTTGGCCTCAGTCTCTGTGTGCGCGGGGTTCGGGGGCCACAAAGAGGGGGCCCGCGGGCCATGTGTGGCCCCCTATTGAGGACCACTGGTCTAGCTGTAAGCTCTGGGCTCAAAAAAAAACAAGAGCTGGCCTAGGTAACGTTAAAGCTAGCCTCCATTTAGTGATCCACAGGTAAAAGCCACATTTATGAGCTACAAAATGTCATTTAAACATAACGTGATTAGTTTAGTAGTGCTAAAGGAGACTCGTTTGGGGTAGGTAGTAAACGTGTGTCCGTGTCGGTTGGTAAATAGCCAGTTTTCAAATGCGTCTGACCGACACTGACTTTAAGTGTTTTTTCCTGACATAATCCATCTGCTGCTGCACCTGTATTTAAATACTGAACTGGTCAGTAATATGTTCCTGAGAAGTTAAGCAAAGAAACATTTTTGTTGTTGCTGCCATGTTGTTCACAACCGCCAAGATGTGTGCGTAAATGCCGCTGTAGCTGTGAAACAGGCAGAAAGGCCGCTGGTCAGTATGTATTCAGTAATCCCTACAGGAAGTCTGTGAAGTTAATCTGAGCTTAACTGGTACTGATTATCTTTGATGAAAACAAAAAAATGTTTGATATTTCTACTTTATGTATTTTCTGTTTAAATACTTCATTATTTTTGTACTTGTTTATTTGTGAAGTTTTGGATTTTCTTTTTTTTTGTGAATTCAGGATAGGGTTGGGCGATGGAGCGAATTATTCGACCATCGGTGTATGGTTGTTTTTACAAGAAGTGATTTGTTTGTTTGTTTGTTTGTTTGTTTGGCTATGAGTTGATTTGTTAATGACAGATCATTTACATGTGATGCACAGAGAACATCGCGGTGGTAACAAACAAGAAAAGATCTCCATCTGAGCATCTGAGCATTGTCTCACAGTTTCTCCGCATCTAGCTGCTGACGATCGCACAAGCGGCACGCTGAAGAGGCGCTGGGAGAGCGTCTGTGACAAGAGTGCAGTGTCGAGTGGAAACCCTTCTATCTTAGTCAGGTGGACTTCTGGTTATTTCATTTGGAGAAAATGTTCCTGATTTTAAAACTTTGGCTTGCGTAGCGCTCGTTATCTGCACCAGCCTCGAATAAGTCAGCGTGTCAGCGGCAGTGTTGGGAACGTTTGTTTAAAATAAACTAGTTCAAAGTTCAGTTCATACATTTTAAAACAAACTAGTTCGTAGTTCTTTTTTCTCATATATATATATATATATATATATATATATATATATATATATATATATATATATATATATATATATATATATATATATATATATATATATATATATAAGGGCCAGGACTCAATTAAAAAAATTAATGTAATTAATTAGAGGCTTTGTAATTAATTAATCTAAATTAATCGCATTTTAATCGTTCAGAAAAGTGTGCCCTCAAAGCAAAACTTTTAATTAAAATGATGAGACAGAGAATCAAACATTAGACATGGTTATTACTGTAAACTAAAGCTTTTAAATTAAAAAATGCATTTTAATTATTCAAATGTCACTGTGTGATATGAAACAAGACCCAAATCAACTAAAATCAGAGTAGTGAGAACACGGAGCGTTCTCCCAGCGGCAGCCAGGTGCCTCTCGTTTGTCTGACTACTTTCATAAACTACTGTTAGGGCACAGAATTATTCTGTCTGGTGCTTTCAGCGCTGCACAGATGTTACGTAAATATTAAAAATATAGCTTACCACAACTTTTGTAAAGTTTCCGGTGCCACCGGGCAGCCGCAGCAGAGACGATCTCTGAAAAATGTCCGCGACACGGACTCCGTTGTTGTCTGGAAGGTTTTTTTCATAGTTAAGAAAAGAGGCTGACGTGTTTCCAAAATCCTGCATCAGTCCAAGCAAGGCAAGCTGTGATTAAATGCGTTAATTTTTTAACACGTCATTTTTTTCTTAATTAATCATAATTAATGCATAAGTCATGGCCCTAATACATATATATATTTATTTATATGTATATATACATATATATATATATATATATATATATATGTATATATATATATATATATATATATATATATATATGTATATATATATGTATATATACATATACATATATATGTATATATACATATATGTATATATACATATATGTATATATACATATATATATATATATATATACATATATACATATAAATATATATATACATATATATGTATATGTATATGTATATATATATATATATATACATATACATATATATATATATATATACATATACACACACACACATATATATATACATATATATATATATATATACATATATATATACACACACACATATATATATATATATACACATATATATATATATATGGAATGTCGTTGGTGGAAGTGTTTAAGGTGCAAATAAAATTGTGGGGCTGGCCGCCATAGGAATGCGGAAACGGGATCCATACCCACACCTCTGACTTGCCCACCCCCCAAAGTCCTATGCGAATGATTGTGTGATGATGTGAGGGAGCAGGAGAAGAAAAATGTGTGGGGATGGGGAGGAATGGCTGGTTGGCCTAGGCCCTCCAGGGAGCCAGCTCCCCCACTGGCCCCAGTAGGCACCTCTGTTCCTTAAATGCCACCCAGGGCATGGAGACCCCAGCCCATCTTGCCAGGGCCCAAAGCAGCAGCATCGCAGGCCCCCACGGAGTCCGAGGGCACCAACCCAGCCCCACCCCAGCAGAATATCTACTCCCATCCCTGCCTTTGCACAACTTCCAAAATATGCAAGACATGAGACATCCAGGTTTGGTTGGGTCCTCCCCCTCTTGGACATCCCCCCCCCCCCCCCCCCCCCCCCGTGATGGGACAGAGTTGTTATCATTCCAGAGGAGCCAAGGTCCACCTGAGGCCCCTGAGCCAGGGCCAGGCACCGCTACATTAATCAACAGTTTTTCTCATGTCTTTGTAACATTTTTAGACCATAAACAGAAATAAAACTGTGGGTTAAAGACCTGCTGCGGTTGTTGTGGGTCTGGTTATTGCTGCTGAGGTTAGGACAAGACTCAACACAGAGTGTCTGATTGATCTGAGGCCTGATGAAACAGCTGAGGAGTTTCTAAAAGAAGCTGCGTTATTTATAGTCTCCTTGTAATCTAATTATAATCCGACATTTCCTCTGAGATTGCGTCTCTTCTTTTAGCGCAGCCGGCTGTCGTGTTTGCTCCTGACTTACATCAAATCCAACACCAGCCAGAGTGTAAACAGATGCCCAGCAAATACCTGAAATGAAGCTCTTTAATCTGTTCACCAGCTGATTTCTGTCATCTTAACCTGGATGTTCAACAGGAGTAAACTTTTTATTGTCCTGATCCGATATAAACAAACAAACATCCTGGAAAGGGCCCTGACCTAAAAGGCTAGGTTATCCAGAGTTATCTCTGTAGTTATGCTGCTATAGGCTTAGACTGCTGGAGGACACACTGACCACTTTCCACACTCAACTGCTTTCTTCTACAATCTGCTCTTTAACTGTATTATTTCCTGCTATTTCAGCTGTTAACTTTATTTTCTCTCTAAGTGTTTTTCTCCCCAGAAGAAGCTACAACGATGTTCTGCTGAGCTGTGGTGGCCTCATGGAGGGGGCCATCGACTAGCACACTGCTGCTAACCACTTATACATTCTCCCTCTCCTGATAATAACTTTTTACTTTCCTTGACGTTGGATGTGCTACTACTAGTTTACCCGTTTAATTATAGATCCACTAGAATAAATACAATAAAGTTTATCTCTCACCAAATAGAATATTTACTAAGACATCACAATGTAACCATAGAAGCATTACTGTGTGTGTGTGTGTGTGTGTGTGTGTGTGTGTGTGTGTGTGTGTGTGTGTGTGTGTGTCCTACCCAGAGGTATCTTCTCCAGCAGATACAGGTAACTGGTGAAGAACTCGCTCCTGAGCGTGTGGTGCAGGTGGAAGGACATGCTGTGGCGACACATGGTGTCGTCCGTCTGCTTCCAGCGGTCCCTGAAGGCCTGGTGAGCTCCTTTGTACTCAACATTTGGAGATGGGCCATGGTTCTCGTCTTCAAGTGTGATCTCCATGCTGAGCTAAAGTCCAGGAGCGTTTAGACGGAGACTCTCAGCCCTCCAGCTCCCGTTTGGGATTCTGTTTCTCCAGCTGCTGCTAAATCTGTCGAGCTGAGAGGCGACACGACTCCGCCAGCGCTCAGCAATCAGAGCGAGCGGCACTCAGGATGACCTGCCAGAGTTACAGGTCACCCGCTGGGACTCTGGGGGAAGTCGTAAGACTTGGAGCTGCAACCCTCCGTTACAAGGTGGGCCCTAAAATTCTTCTGTCGCTGATGTGTGCTAACGTAGAATAAAATAAAAGCCCTAAAGAATCTGATCCAGAACCATTATGATCCAGAACCAATATGATCCAGAACCAATATGATCCAGAACCAATATGATCCAGAACCATTATGATCCAGAACCATTATGATCCAGAACCAATATGATCCAGAACCAATATGATCCAGAACCATTATGATCCAGAACCAATATGATCCAGAACCAATATGATCCAGAACCATTATGATCCAGAACCAATATGATCCAGAACATCTCTGATCCAGAACCGTTATTATCCAGAACCAATACGATCCAGAACCATTATGATCCAGAACATCTCTGATGCGTTGTGGCTTTCTGTTAAGAGCCATTCAGTCCCTTTACCAGAGGAGCGTGAGTTTGGTCCGCATAGCCGGTAGTAAGTCGGACCTGTTCCCGGTGAGGGTTGGACTCCGCCAGGGCTGCCCTTTGTCACTGGTTCTGTTCATCACTTTTATGGACAGAATTTCTAGACGCAGCCGTGGTGTGGAGTGTGTCGAGTTTGGTGGCAGGAGAATCTCGTCTCTGCTGTTGCGGATGATGTGGTCCTCCTAGCTTCATCCAGCTCTGACCTTCAGCTCTTGCTGGGTAGGTTCGCGGCCGAGTGTGAAGCGGCTGGGATGAGGATCAGCACCTCCAAATCTGAGACCGTGGTTCTCGACCGGAAAAGGGTGGCTTGCCAACTCCGGGTCGGGGGAGAGGTCCTACCTCAAGTGGAGGAGTTTAAGTATCTCAGGGTCTTGTTCACGAGTGAGGGTAGGAGGGATCGGGAGATCGACAGGCGGATAGGTTCGGCGTCTGCAGTGATGCGGACGCTGAGCCGATCTGTCGTGGGGAAGAGGGAGCTGAGCCAGAAAGCCAGGCTCTAGATTTACCGGTCGATCTACGTCCCAATCCTCACCTATGGTCATGAGCTTTGGGTAATGACCGAAAGAACGAGATCGCGGATACAAGCGGCCGAAATGAGTTTCCTCCGTAGGGTGGCCGGGCTCAGCCTTAGAGATAGGGTGAGGAGCTCGGACATTCGGGAGGGACTCGGAGTAGAACCGCTGCTCCTCCGGATCGAAAGGAGCCAGTTGAGGTGGTTTGGGCATCTGGTCAGGATGCCTCCTGGACGCCTCCCTGGGGAGGTGTTTCGGGCATGTCCTGCCGGCAGAAGGCCCCCGGGTCGACCCAGGACACGTTGGAGAAGTTACATCTCCAATCTGGTCCGGGAACGCCTTGGGGTCCTGCCGGAGGAGCTGGTGGAGGTGGCCGGGGAGAGGACGGTCTGGAGCTCCCTAGTTGGGATGCTGCCCCCGCAACCCGGACCCGGATAAGCGGAGGAAGACGAAGACGAAGACGACGAACATCTCTGATGCAGAACCATTATGATCCAGAACCAATATGATCCAGAACATCTCTGATCCAGAACCGTTATGATCCAGAACATCTGATCCAGAACCAATATGATCCAGAACCGTTATGATCCAGAACATCTGATCCAGAACCAATATGATCCAGAACATCTCTGATCCAGAACCAATATGATCCAGAACCATTATGATCCAGAACATCTCTGATGCAGAACCATTATGATCCAGAACCAATATGATCCAGAACCGTTATGATCCAGAACCAATATGATCCAGAACATCTCTGATCCAGAACCGTTATGATCCAGAACATCTGATCCAGAACCAATATGATCCAGAACCGTTATGATCCAGAACATCTGATCCAGAACCATTATGATCCAGAACATCTCTGATGCAGAACCATTATGATCCAGAACCAATATGATCCAGAACATCTCTGATCCAGAACCGTTATGATCCAGAACATCTGATCCAGAACCAATATGATCCAGAACCGTTATGATCCAGAACATCTGATCCAGAACCAATATGATCCAGAACCGTTATGATCCAGACCCAATATGATCCAGAACATCTCTGATCCAGAACCATTATGATCCAGAACCGTTATGATCCAGAACCAATATGATCCAGAACCATTATGATCCAGAACATCTCTGATGCAGAACCATTATGATCCAGAACCAATATGATCCAGAACATCTCTGATCCAGAACCGTTATGATCCAGAACCAATATGATCCAGAACCATTATGATCCAGAACATCTCTGATGCAGAACCATTATGATCCAGAACCAATATGATCCAGAACATCTCTGATCCAGAACCGTTATGATCCAGAACATCTGATCCAGAACCGTTATGATCCAGAACCAATATGATCCAGAACATCTCTGATCCAGAACCGTTATGATCCAGAACCGTTATGATCCAGAACATCTCTGATGCAGAACATCTCTGATCCAGAACCGTTATGATCCAGTACCATTATGATCCAGAACATCTCTGATCCAGAACCGTTATGATCCAGAACCAATATGATCCAGAACCATTATGATCCAGAACATCTCTGATGCAGAACCATTATGATCCAGAACATCTCTGATGCAGAACCATTATGATCCAGAACCAATATGATCCAGAACATCTCTGATCCAGAACCGTTATGATCCAGAACATCTGATCCAGAACCGTTATGATCCAGAACCGTTATGATCCAGACCCAATATGATCCAGAACCAATATGATCCAGAACATCTCTGATCCAGAACCGTTATGATCCAGAACCGTTATGATCCAGAACATCTCTGATGCAGAACATCTCTGATCCAGAACCGTTATGATCCAGAACCGTTATGATCCAGAACCGTTGTGATCCAGAACCGTTATGATCCAGAACCGTTATGATCCAGAACCGTTGTGATCCAGAACATCTCTGATGCAGAACATCTCTGATCCAGACCCGTTATGATCCAGAACCGTTGTGATCCAGAACCGTTATGATCCAGAACCGTTATGATCCAGAACCGTTATGATCCAGAATTGCTCAGAAAGAACTTCCATGCTAGACGACGGGATTGTCAGAGTTGGCTAGTAAACATCTGATGTGCACTCATCTAACAGGTGAATGTTTTCCCAGTCGGAGTTCGCGTTCTGGATCGCGGCGTTGGGAATAACGGGTGTTTGTGTTCATCTGTCCCTGATGTGTAGAAACTTGAACCCAAACGGCTGTAATTTCATCTGCAGGCCTGGAAGAATATCGTGTTTCTGCTGAATTCATCACCAGTCGCAGTCTAAAATAAGACACATTACATCAGCTGTCACATGGGGAACCGCGGTGCTGAGACAAGCAAATGCCTCATGGAGGGCAGAATGACTGCGTTCCCATATCAGTTCCACCTGCTGGTCGCCGCCTCAAACATCTCATGGTTGCTGCAAGATCATGTAGGAGTTTTATTTAGTTCCCACTTGCTCCTGTCAGAGAAACCTGGCAGGAGTCCCGCCTCACACACACACACACACACACACACACACACACACACACACACACACACACACACACACACACACACACACACACACAACTACAGCCCTCCGTCATTATCTTGTTTTAAGGAGAAGAACCCCCCAGTCTGAGAGTTAAATCTGTATCAGTGTAACCTTCCTTCCAACGTGAGGTTTGGTGATTATTTCACATTAGAATTCTTACATGTTGCTTCTTTAATTTGGAATGTTTAATTTAGATTCTAGAATGTTTCATTTTATTTTGGATAGATGTTTATTATTCAGATATGACATTTTAATTGTCTAAATATAATTGGTGAGAAAGGGAATTTAAAATGTTTACACCTCGTGCTTATACCTTTATTTTGACTTTTATCAGAAACAACAAAACAACACTTTATTGATCCCAATGGGAATTAAATGTTGTTGTGACTCATATTATTCATAATAATCAAGAATACAATTATTAGTAGTAGTATTAGCCTATTATCATTATTAGCCAATTATTATTTAATTATTATTACTATTACTTATTATTAGCCTGTTATTATTACTATTTTATTATTATTATTATTTAGGTTCTTCAGAGATTTGCTGTGGATGCTGATGATGAATAAACTAAACAAATAAAATGTGTTTTTTATGTTAATATAAAGTATATGAAACATAAATGTATAAAATATTGTGAAGTTTCGTCACGGTAATTATGGAAATACTATAATTTTACTCGTTTGTGACTGCGTTTCAACGCCTGACCTGCAGGGGGCAGCAGACAGACGTTCGCGTTTCAGTGGTGGTAACCATGCTGTCTCCATAGCAACGAAACGAGGGGACAAATCGGCTGTTTATGATCGGAGGGAATCACCAGGATTGGGATTTAATCTGAAATGGAGCCCAGAGAGCTGCCGCGTTGTCTGATGAGGTAAAGCCGGAACCAAACAGGAAGTTCGACTGATAACAGTACGCCATTTAAACAGCTAGCTTAGGAGCTACCTAGCTTCAAAAGACGTAATAAGTTAGTCACTTGTTGCCGAGTTGGCGCGGGTTTTAAATATAAACTATAGTTCATTTTAACATGAAGAAAAATTATTTGATGAAAGTACATTCAGCCGTTTTTTCTTAAATCACCAACAAACCTCTACACAAAGGAAAACAATGCATTTAAAGAGCAAGTCACCCCAGAGTCTAACTCCACTCCCACTTCATGTTTGAAAAATGCAACACACACACGGCCTGGAAGACCGAGAGGGCGGAGCTGCTAACAAATACACACACACACAGGCTCACGACAGTATTGTGACATCATAATGTACCAGTTTACATCATAGCCTACCTCTTAGCCAATAGCGGTGGCAGATTTAAATTCAAATACAGTGCAGAGTTTTACCTGACAACGGCACAACACTGACAGTTTTAGGCAGAATATTTAAATTTTAACTAAGATGCACTGAAGTGCCAAATTATTGACGACACGTGTCTGCAGCACGATTAGACACTCGTTTATTTAGTTTATCAGCAAAAAAAAATGTTTATTTGGGGTGACTTGCTCTTTAAAAAGTTTCCTTTTTGATTCGTTTATTTTTTGTGAATTCTTTCACTTAATTTTTCCAGGTGATTCAATTCAGTTCATCTATCCATGTTCTCAGGTGCTTCCCAAAGAAAACATTCCAATTGAGTTGAATTGATGAAGCCGATCAGAGCTTCTACTTTAGCTGCATATGGAGGTCGACACTGATGTTTCCAACTATGATGATTTACTGTTGTTAAGTGTGACTTCATTCAAACCGTGATGACATCACACTTGGGGCAAGCCTTAACTAGAAAAAACTGAAGTGGCAACCCACCTCCCCTTCCACCTCCATCAGCCCTAAAAATGTCATGAACAGAACTCAGAAGACCCAAAATGACGCCAAACACAGTAAAAATAGGTTAAAAAATCTTTTATTCTTGGTGAAGTTACCCGAGGTGGGAGAGGCTGGAGACAGAGTCGGAGACAGGCAAGGTCGTAATGGCAGGCAGATAACAAGGCAGGGGTCAGGAGCGAAAAACGAGGTCCGGAGGCTGAGGTCAGGCAGGGTGGATAGCTGGAAGATTTACTAGCAAAGGCTTTCAATAATCTGGCAGAGACTGGATAGCTGGATGGTTCTGGATTGTGTAGGGGAAGCAGGTGTGTGAGAAGAGCTGAGGAGTCAGGAGCAGGTGAAGTGGATGAAGCTGATGACAGGAGCAGGTGAGATGAATGGAGTTGATGAGGTGCTGACTGAGGTTGCTAGGGAAACCAGGGCTTGGCTGGAGCTTAATGAGGGGACCAGGTGAGCTGCATAAAGGTTGAGGAGGGTGAAAGATTGGGAGTCAGGACAAAAAAGGTTAAAATTGTCCAAATGAATTGTCATCGTTTAGGCAAGTTTCCGAGAGAGTAATTATAGCTGGATTATTATAGCTGGATTATTATAGCTGGATTATGATAGCTAAACCAAGCTTTTAACAAGTCAAACTTAGGAAGTAGACCTGTAACATCAAGATGTATTATATAAAGACCCTTAGCCATTTAACAAAAGGCTTAAACAAAGTAAACAAAAACAATGCACTACTAAGACAAGACAGGTAAAAAACAAGAAAATTCAATTGATAATAATTGTAAACAATTAAATTCATAGAAATAAAAATAGAACCTAACATAAACCAAAACAATTTAACCCCAGTACACACCTGTTTAATATAAAGGTTTGTTTCCCTGGTGTTTAGCTGAGGAACATCTTGGACCAGGTTCAGAGGAAGAGAGCTGACTGGACACCGGTCACATCTTTTCTGGGTTGATTTGATCAAAACTGAGCTCATTTGTGTGTGTGTGTGCGTGTGTGTGTGCGTGCGTGCGTGCGTGCGCGTGCGTGTGTGTGTGTGTGCGTGCGTGCGTGCGTGTGTGTGTGTGTGCGTGCGTGCGTGCGTGCGTGCGTGCGTGTGCGTGCGTGTGTGTGTGTGAGTGTGCGTGCGTGTGTGCGTGCGTGCGTGCGTGTGTGCGTGTGTTTGTGTGTGTGTGTGCGTGCGTGCGTGTGTGTGTGTATGCGTGTGTGTCTGTGAACTCAGGCATCATTAATCATCCACGTTCTCCAGCGTTCCTCCTTTCATCTGTTGCTCCACATGGAGGTTCCGGCCGCTCCATCCGGACCTCGAGGTTCTGACACCTGATGAGACGAGCGCCTCGTGGCCTCCCCTCTGATCCGGAGCAGATCCCACAGATAAACGGCTGAATTCTGCCTAATCCAGAGCGTTGGGATGGGAAGAACAGGAAAAGTCTGCTGGGTCCAGAATCCCGTCCTGAGGGCGGTTCTGGTGTCTTCAAACGTTTTGGATCATTTGTAACATCTAAAGTTCTGATGGTCTGTAACAGCTAACCGGGTCACAGTGGTTCTGAGAACCTCCTGTAAACACCTCTAGGTCATTATGAGGTGGGCTGCCATGTGACCGAGGTCCAAACCCGGCTCACTAATTAAATCCCACAGACCAGTTAATCCCAGTAGCTCACTGGTTCCTCTGCTGTTTGAAGCTTAATGGGTCTGTAAAGGTTCCCCTGGGTTCTACCTGCTCACTGGGCCCGGAGCCGGTCCAGGTAAACAACCGCTAATGAGAAGCAGGTGTTTGGGTCAGTAGCTGGTTCCGGACAGCCCGGATCAGCTTGAACCTATTGCACCAGTAGGACTGATGCTTCCTGCTGTTTCCCAGTTACGCCGGGGACACACCGGCCGCGGAAGCGCCGCGAAGCGCCGAGAAGCGAATCGCTCACGAAATTCGGCCGCTGCTCGCCGCTCCTCAGTTCAGATCAGACGCGCCCCAGTCGAGGCGCGCCTCGGCTCAGCTGTAGTTTTTCTTTTAAACACTTGGTGTCCTCCATTTCCTCTCTGCCTTTTCTCAGCTCTTTTCCTACGTTTGAGTGTTTGTGCGCGTGCGCGCGCGCGCGTGTGTGTGTGAACCTATGGTATGAGATGTTTCTGCCAGTTGAATCTCTTGGAACCCGCTCCAATTCTGCAGCTGTATCCTAGCAGTTTCTTCCGACATGGGTACGTAGATAATCGTGTTTTTCGGGGGTCGTACAGCTCCTTGTGTTTCTCAACTTCCATAATTAATTTAAAGTCGTCCATCCTAACTGCTTGCCTCAGACTTTCTGCCTCTCTGTCCTGTTTGCTCCGGTGAAAAGACACCCAAAACCACACCCCCCTTCACGTGGTCACACACGCACACAAGTTCGATGTGTGTGTATGTGTGTGCGTGTTCGTGTGGTTTTTCTGCAGTGTCTGTTTACGAACACATTTGACTATTGCGGAATTTTATTTTGAAATGCTTTATTTTGTTAAATTTACCGGCCTGCCTCTTATGTCTACGTTTGACTTCCTGCCAGAATTGACGCGATTCACCCGCGGCTCGCGAAAAAAATAGAGCCAACGCCGAAATGATCGCTGCACGGCGCGGGCTGGAGCGCCGGCACGCGCCGGCGCGAGGCGATTCGCGGCGCTTCGGCGGCCCATGTGGTCTATAGAATAGCTTAACAAGGGCGCCGAATGAAGGCGGTCCCATTTTCGCGGCGCTTCGCGGCGCTTCCGCGGCCAGTGTGTCCCGGCCTTAGACTCCAGTAGAATCTGCATCTGGTTCTGGTTCTCAGGACCAGTCACCCAACACAGCTGGGCCAGGCTGGTGGGCCTGGCGGACCCAGTCCAGGAGGAGTCAGAACCAGAACACAGACCAAAGCCTGAATAATTAAACACAGCAAAGTCCCTCTTCTGGTTCTGGTTCTGGGTCTGGTTCAGAGTTAGGTTCTGGGTCTGGGCTTGGTTCTGAGTCTGAGTTTGGTTCTGGTTCTGAGTATGGTTCTGGGTCTGGGTCTGGGTTTGGTTCTGGGTCTGGGTCTGGGTTTGGTTCTGGTTCTGAGTATGGTTCTGGTTCTGGGTCTGGTTCTGAGTCTGGGTTTGGTTCTGGGTCTGAGTATGGGTCTGGGTCTGGTTCTGGGTCTGGTTCAGAGTTAGGCTCTGGGTCTGGGCTTGGTTCTGAGTCCGAGTTTGGTTCTGGTTCTGAGTATGGTTCTGGGTCTGGGTCTGAGTTTGGTTCTGGTTCTGGGCTTGGTTCTGAGTCCGAGTTTGGTTCTGGTTCTGAGTATGGTTCTGGGTCTGGGTCTGAGTTTGGTTCTGGTTCTGAGTTAGGTTCTGGTTCTGGGTCTGGTTCTGAGTTAGGTTCTGGTTCTGGGTCTGGTTCTGAGTTAGGTTCTGGGTCTGGGTCTGGGCTTGGTTCTGAGTCTGAGTTTGGTTCTGAGTATGGTTCTGGGTCTGGGTCTGAGTTTGGTTCTGGTTCTGAGTTAGGTTCTGGGTCTGGGTCTGGGCTTGGTTCTGAGTCTGAGTTTGGTTCTGGTTCTGAGTATGGTTCTGGGTCTGGTTCTGGGTTTGGGTCTGGTTCTGAGTATGGTTCTGGTTTTGGGTTTGGTTCTGGGTCTGAGTATGGGTCTGGTTCTGGTTCTGGGACCGGGTCTGGACCTGACCTCTGACAGGAGTGGTGTTGAAGGCCCTGGGCCCGTTGCGGCGGTAGCTGCTGGCGCCCGCGGCGCCCTGTGGAGCGTTCCGACACAGGCAGCCTTTCATGCTCAGACTTCCTGTTTGTGCTGCAGCTGACGAGGCCCAGAGACGGCTCGGCGGGAGCGTTCTGTACCACATCAGCAGGGACGACACGCTCGGGCCCGTGTCCGCTCACGCCCACCGCATACCGCAGGTAAGACTGGCTAATGTAGCGCGCGGCACATCTGGGAGGTTCTGCTGGCGCTCCTGTCAGGAACAATCCGGTCTCCTGGTTTTCCACCGAGTCCTGCAGAAGCTCATGTGGTGGTCTCGGTTCTGTCTCCAGCAGCACAGAAACACGTTTGTTTTCTCTGCATGGAAGCTGTGAGAGTGGCGTTTAAACGCCTTCGCTCTGATGCTGGATCATCTCGTGTCCGGAGGCCCGGTTCTGATTGAGCCGACCGGGTCGGCGGCTAACGCTGTCCGAGTGTGTGTGATGTTTGTTAGGAGTAAGTGTAAACGCAGACCAGATGTGCTCTTGAGTGTGTTTGTTCAGAGGTCAGCAGCAGATCTGGGCCAGGATGTGACCTCTGACCTCCTCCTGATATCAATCACAGAGTCATCACCTCTTTAACCCCCGCAGCGCCCCTTCAGCCTCTCATTCATGTTCCCGGGTGGATTTATCTTTTGTCTCAAGCATCTCTACCTGTCGGACTCACTTGAGCGCTGCAGCGGCACGTGCTGGATCCAAACCCCGACGGAGCTGGGACTGTGCGAGACGACCAGGAGACAAGGGACCGGCTTCTGTCAAGGATTCTCTTCCTGATCCGCCATGTTGGGTCGATGATGTCATAGCAAACAGGTGTGACACGTTTAGATGTCATTTAATCAAATGTCTCAATTACGTCTGATTTTATTCTCAAATTGGTCCCAAAGCTGAGGCACGTTTGTTGTTTCTGGTCCGTAAGTTGGTTCTAGGCAGGTTCTGGACGGGTTTCAGGTGGGTTATGGATGGGTTCTGAGTTTTCCACATCCTGTTGTAGAAAATGAAGCCATGGCATGTTTTGGTTACCGCCCACTTACCTGCATTTACCTGCAGACAGTCTCCATGTTTGACCTCATCTGTGACAACAGGACGGGCCTGCAAACGGGCAGAACCGCAGAACCAGCAGGAGGCAACGCCTACAGCGGGCGGAGCTTCCGTTCTGTAGGGTATCCATCCCCCGGGAGACAACGTTCCCACATCCAGGTGTTGTGAGAGTAAGGTGAGGAGAGATCGAGGCCCGGAGACCCACGTGAGGAAAACTGGGAATGTTTTAGACCCTTCAGGAACGTCCTGGAGATCAGATGGAGGTTCAGGTGGAATCCAGAACCTTTTGTCTCACTCATCTCCTCAATAACAGGGTCAGCCTCTGGTTCTGGACCTGACTTGGGCAGGTGGGGGGGGGGGCTGTGGTAAATGAGCAGAGGCAGGTGCCAGAGAGTCTAGACGGGGCTGATTGGGGGTCCGGGGCCCCCAGTATGTGATACCTAACCCAGACCCTGTCTCTGACCCCCCCCCCCCCCCCCCCCCCCCCCCAGCTCTTCCTGTTTAACGCTGAACCGGGGGGGTGGGGGTGGGGGGGGGCATGAGAACAGACCTTCTGATGATGTCGGGTTTCTGGATCGTTATAAAATGCTTGCAGCTCCTTTCTGAGTCAGAGGACTCCAAAGCTCTTTACCCGCTCACCTGCTGCTGGTGATGAGCTACGTGGTAGCCGCAGCTGCTCTGGGATGCTCTGACGGAAGCCACTGGCCGCTCCCAGCAGCAGCGACCGAGGGCTCGAAGCCCGACACGCCTGGGTTTGAACCAGCAACCCAGCAGTGACGGGGCACACTACTGATGTGATTCAGCTTGTGTTGAACCGCTTCTATCGGCGCTGTTTTCAGGTGTTTGGGTTGGGTTTGGATCAGACCCAGTACCTCACTGGGATGGGACTGGTAAGAACACGGTTTAGTCTCAGAACCGGTCACACGGTCCTCTCAGTGGTTTCCAGTGAGGTTCTGGTTTCTACTGACCCATCCACTGGGATCACAGACTGCGTTTGCTTCTGTTGACGTTTGGAGCTTTTGATTGGCAGCTGATGAAGATGACGTTTGCCTGTGGCGAGCAGAAGATGGCCACTGAGCTCATCGCACTCGGCATCAACCTGGCAGTGAGCGGGAGCAACGCTCAGCTCATCTGTGAAGGTCTGAGCTCCTCAGAAACACCCGAGGAAGTCCGAGGTTTCACTCCAACCCTCCTCCTCCTCCTCACCTCAGGGAGCGGGCTGGAGATGCTGATGAAGAGGGCCCTGAAGCTGAAGGGTGTTCTGCTGATGAAGATGATCAGAAGCCTGTCCCAGCACAACGGACCCACTAAGCTTGTTTTTGGTTGGTGTTCGGATCATCGGAGGATCATGAAGGTTCCTCTTGCACCTTTTCTTCTCCTGCTGACAGGACCACGTTGGAGACCTGGCTGCTCAGACCATCCAGGAGGAAGCTGATGGAGTGTTTGGGGACTCTGGCCAACCTGACCATCCCAGACCTGGACTGGGATCTGGTGCTGAAGGAGTTCAAGCTGCTGCCCTACCTGAAGGACCGACTCAAACCAGGTGAGTCCCAGGCGTGTCTTCTGTCCTTACCCACGTCCTCCTGACCATTCATCAGGCAGGATGGAGAACACTAACAGGTTTGACTCTGACCTTTGAACCCTGAGCTGTCAACAGCTGGATCGTTGTTCTGGTCCTTTTTAGAACCTTTAGAAGCTGCTGTCCTCACGTCTGTGTCTCCAGGTCCACCCTGAAGAAGACATGCGGGACACTTAAAGCTTCAGTGTCAGATATTTGGTTTTCTAAATGAAACTCACTGAGACGGTTTCAGAGTCAGAGATGTTTCATGGAGGATTCATGTAACCATGGTAACTTCTGAGTCGGTTTAGAAGAAACGTCCTGATCCAGAACCAGCCCACAGGACCACGGGAGGCTGCAGCTGCTTTGGATCTTCTGTAGACCCCACAGGGAACTTGAACCATCAAGCTCCTCCATATCTGTGTGAACTTGTCCATTACTACAGCCCGCCGCGTGCTCTCAGGTCTGAAGATAAGCTCCTCCTAGCTGTTCCCAATGCACGTTTAAAAAGCCGTGGAGAAAGGGCTTTCTCTGTCTGTGCACCCAAGCTGTGGAACGCATTACCACTGCTAGTGAGGCTAGCACCAACAGCTAGCATTTTTAAATCACGCCTGAAAACTCACAACTTCAACCTAGCTTATACCACATAATTATGAACCTCACTTACATCTGCACTGTTTAAAAATGGACTTCACAATTATCAACTTCCGTACTATTGAGGTTCTTTTTAAAATGTTTTTCTAATTTTTTATTCTCCCTGTGTCTTACTGATTTTTAGCTGTTATTTTTTGGGAATTTTGTTGTATTTCCTGTTTATCTTTTATCTGTGTTTGACATGTTTGTATACCGCCGGTTTAATTAACTAACATTTTTAGTGTACAGCGCCTTGTTTGGTTGTAATGCCTTGTGAATGCGCTTTATAAATAAAATTGGATTGGATTGGAAGACAGGAACTACAGGAATCAAATGTTGGTTTCTTGATTTTGTTCTGGTCCGGTCGTGTTTGTGTGACAGCTGTTCAGCTCTTGGTGAGACAGGAAACTGTCATGTTCTGCCCCTGCCTTCCTGACTGTGTGCCTCTTCTGCCTCATTAGTCCCTATTGGTTTCACCTGCCCCTTGTTAGCCTGCCCACGTGTTCCTCATTTTCCCGTGTATTTATACCTCCCTCCTTGTTGCTGTCCTTGGTCAGATCATTGTTGTGTTTTCACCGTGTTACGTTTGCTCCTGCTGTACCATCCTACCTGCCATATTCATTAAACCATTTTTATTTTTTCATCCGTTGCTCTTCTGCCTCCGGCCTTCTGCCTTCTGTCTGTTGTAGAAATATAGTAACAGATTTTTATAAACTATGTTTGTGCTTCTGTGTCAGGTTATTGATAAGTGTTGGTTCCCTGTGGCCAAAGTACCCGTTTCCAGTGTCAGTCGGATATCAGAGGGTCAATGATATTAATGATTCACATTTTTATGGAACATTCTATTTTGTTGAATACCTTTCATATTTTATTGACAGTTTATTGATTGTGACCACGTACAAATGTTACAAAAGTTTTTACAAAGGTGATAAAATTTTTTATCACGTTTTAGTAGGGATGTAAGAAAATATCGATATGGCAATATATCGCGATATTGTTTCCTGCGATTATTACATCGATATTCAAAAGCCGTGTATCTAATTCTTGAAAGAATTTACATGCAAACATTTGTGTATTTTCTTTTCGTTTTGTGCAATTCAATCACCACCCGCTAGTTGGCAGCAGTGTGCAACTGGTTTTGTTTTCACCAATGAAACGTAAATCCCTCCATCATGGTTCAGATACCTCATGTTAAACATGTTACATATCAGTTTGGACTGTTTATTGAACATTCTTACAATAAATTCAGTAAAAAAATTGCTTGTAACGTCTGACTGAATGTATCGCAATATATCGCAATATATCGTGATATATCGTATCGTCTCCCCCGTATCGTGATATGTATCGTATCGCCAGAATTTCAAAAATACACATCCCTGTAATTTAGTCTAAAAATAATTTTAAAATCACATTACTTCAAATAAAGCAAATATTATTTGATATGATCCAAATGTTCTTATTTTGAGTAAAAACAATCTGCCACATAAGCAAAAGTAGCCTGGCCAGGTTCCTCACAAGCAGAGAGGCGCATGAGGGGCGGGACTAGCCAGCTCAACAATGACCAATCAGAAAAAGGCTTTCTTTAGAAGAAAGGCTTTTAGCGCTTCTACTTGTTGTGGTTTTAGAGACATTCAACTCATTTAGACCAGCGCTGATTGACTCGGTAAAAATTCTCAGGGAGCGGGGCTACTTGAATAGGAGCGTTCCCAGACCCAATGCTTCCCTTAAGGAGACAGTCTGGTCAGGCTAAAGCAAAAGTTGCTTGGCTAAAATTCTTCAAACTAGCAAAAAATACCATACCAACGTTATTTCTATAGCACAGTTTAAGACACAGCGTGAGAGCTGACCGAAGTGCTGAACAGGCAGGATCAATTAAAACAAAAGTAAAAACAATAGGAAGATAAAACACAATAAAAACTATAAAATCCTAATAGGATGACATGGATCACTGTCTAAAAGACAAGTCATAAAAGTAGGTTTTCAAACGAGATTTAAATCAGGCAGAGAGGACGCCAGCCTGACTGTACTGGGCAGTGAGTCCTAGAGCATGGGGGCAGCATGGACAAACGCACGTTCACCTCGTGATTTGTAGGCCATCCGGGGAGTGCAAAGCAGTAGACGGTCAGCTGACCTCAACATACGAGTAGGTACATATGGAGTCAGCAGGTCGGACAGATATGGAGGAGCTAGGTCGTGTAGGGCTTTAAAAACAAACATCAATATCTTAAAATGCACACAAAATGTGATGGGGAGCCAGTGAAGATGTTCCAGGACTGGTGTAATATGGCTATGTACGTACGCACACACACGCACTCACACTCTCACACACACACGCACACACTCTCACACACACACACTCACACACGCGCACACACGCACGCACGCGCACACATGCACACACACGTACTCACACACACTCACACATGCACACATGCACGCACACACTCACACACACACACACACGTACTCACACACACTCACACATGCACACACACACGCACACACTCACACACACACTCACACACGTGCACACACGCACGCACACACTCACACACACACTCATACACACACACGTACTCACACACACACACATACTCACACATGCACACACACACTCACACACACACACGTACTCACACACACTCACACACGCGCACACACGCACGCACACACTCACACAAACACACACACACTCATACACACACACGTACTCACACACACACACATACTCACACATGCACACACACACTCACACACACACACATACTCACACACACTCACACACGCGCACACACGCACGCACACACTCACACAAACACACACACACACACACACACACATACTCACACACACTCACACACGCGCACACACGCACGCACACACTCACACAAACACACACACACACACACGTACTCACACACACTCACACACTCACACTCACACTCACACTCATATGAAAACTGTCGATTCCAGAGATTCTGTTTGATAAAATGAAGAAAACATTTTATCTTCAAGCCTAAAGAATCAGATTTAATCCAGAGGGGTTAGCGAGCTTTCCTTAAATCCAGACGTCAGAAGCTCCATCTTACCTCATCTTTTTGATGAATGATAAAAACGCCGGCCTGGGCGGTATAAACTGTGCCTGCAGAACTGAGCCTGCAGTACGGGGCTTGTGGAACTGTGCCTGCAGAACTGAGCCTGCAGTACGGGGCTTGTGGAACTGGGCCTGCAGAACTGAGCCTGCAGTACGGAGCTTGTGGAACTGGGCCTGCAGAACTGAGCCTGCAGTACGGGGCTTGTGGAACTGGGCCTGCAGAACTGAGCCTGCAGTACGGGGCTTGTGGAACTGGGCCTGCAGAACTGAGCCTGCAGTACGGGGCTTGTGGAACTGGGCCTGCAGAACTGAGCCTGCAGTACGGGGCTTGTGGAACTGGGCCTTGGTGTTGAGTTCTTTAGAGTCTGAGCTGCAGAGGGGTTCTCCTCTTCTCTGGGTGGGATCAGTGAAGTTCAGAGTTCTGGTTCCGTTCCAGTCCAGGAAGGTTTTAAAGATGCACAACTAATAATTCTGATGATTCAGAACTCGGTGGAACGTTCTGTTGACAGATATGAACCATCCCTGGTGTTCAAGTAGAAGGGTTCAGTTGTTTTGTTTTTCGTGACAAACGAATTAAAATTATCACTTCTTTTAAAACTACGT